AGTGCGTTGCAGTCTCCTGCTGCTGCACGAGGAAATGTTTCATGATGTTCATGACCGCGTGTACGTGTGCATGTGCTGGGGCTGACTGATGGGGTGAGTGCAGGAGGCAGGGGTTGGATGAGTGTGTGTTGCCCTGTGCTTGGGGGAGGCATAATAGTATAGATGATGGAAAACGATAAGTGAAGGACACATATTACAGCCATTGGCAGGTAAGATGAAGGAGTTACTGCTCTCTCTCTCTCTCTCTGTGTGTGTGTGTGTGTACACCACAGCCCAATGAATCATCTCATCTCGATCATGTCTTAAAACAGTGGGACATTAAAGTGGCCCGAGGACACATCGGTCGTATCACTACAGAAGGTTTGGGTTTCAGCTCATTGGTGAGACTTAATTCTGTCAAACACAGTAGTGTGTATAGTAGAGCGAGCATAAGTAAACACACAGAGGCCCAGCTCCACACAACAGTGAAGTGGCCCTAAGGGAGCCGCCCTCTCATCACACCCACAGGTGAGGAAGGAGAGCGAGGGTAAACACCAGGAGGGCAGATCAATGTGTTGTTGGTAAATTATCACAGGGCAGAATTTGTGGAGGAGGAGGAGGAGGAGGAAGAGGAGGAGGAGGAGGAGGAATGATATGCAAACAAGTCAACTTTCCATGAATATCTCTCTGCTAACCTCATTCCCCTGTGGTCGCCGGCAGCAATATCAACGTCAGACTTCATGTGACGCCCCACCAGCTGACGGTGCCCCAGTACGGCTGAGTACGGTCTGCTGCAGAGACATCCTGTCGAGACACAGAGCCATCATGTCTTACACTTCTCCTTTGTTTACTGGAAGGCAGTATGATGAGAGAGCAGTTATTACATTGTTTTGCTTGGATCAATAAGCTTCACCTGCCTCGCGGTAGTCCAGGCCGTGGAGGGATTCTCAAAACCCATTTAGGAGGCTCAAACATAAACTCATATAACATCAAAGTGCAGAGTGTTGCTGAGGTGCAAACCTTGTTTCCAGAAAAAGTTTGTAAAATAGTTCAAATGTTGTTTTTCAGCCTAAAAGACTGAGGTGACTTCTAATTTTGGTTGTTTTAAAAATTGAACTCATTTGGACATTATCACTGAGCGTCACTTCGAACAATAGACCAGTGTTTCCCAAACTTTTTTTGCGGGGACCCATATTTTAAGTCACAAACCTTCGCAACCCAAGTCAATAGACATTATTTGTAAATTCCTTGGAAAACTGATGCGAGACGACCCCAAAAAAAATCTCTTATGACCCACCTGAGGGTCGCGACCCAGTCTTTGGGAAACATTGGGATAGACCACATACAAGTTCTCAACCCATGTCTCTGTACTCCACCTCATTTGGTGTTCTTGACGTGAACAGGACAAGCAGTGGACCAATCATTTTATCATTAAATAAACCCTGTGGTGACCCATGATGGTAGTAAAACACTTGATATTACTAATAGTATTACTAACTTTTGTAATCTTGCCCTGACAAACGTTGTTTTCAGCACGACCTTCCTCTCTGACTCTTCTCGGTGATAGTGCAGTCAACAATTTGTACCTTTCTTATGTTAAACATAAAGGGACAGGCATGTTAGAAAAAACCATCTCCTGTCGAAGCAGGTTTCTGTCACAGCTGTACGGTCAAATCAATACGACCTCCACTTATCCAGATGATCACTTTTCACGTCTCAATCCAACATGTACGACTGGCAGGTCCTAAAAATTCTGCAAAAACCACAGATGTCAAACGTGTTTTCTTAACATGTGTGAGATTTAATTGTTGCTCCATCACTGAGAGCAGCTCCAACCACCAGGATGTGCTGAAGGATCTCGTTTTCCTTATATTCCACATGATCAAGCCTAACAGCTTGACTGAGGCCCTCTTTAAAAAAAAAAAAAACACCCCACGGGGAAAAAAAAGATGACAGTGAAGGAAGGTGGTTTGGTTGGGGTCATAAAAACGCCCTCCACCGTGATTTTCCCACTGCCTTTGGAATAGCAGTGAGATTGGCTCCTGCCCAGCATGGGTTTGAGTGACACGAAGACAAGGCACCCCACCCCACCTCACCCCACCCCCCACTCTAATCCCCACGCCTCCTCCATCCCCCCCAGCACTGGCCCACTTCACCCTCCACCCTCTCCCTGTCCCTCATCAGACAAGCTGGGTGTCAGCACAGAGACAGCAGCATGATTTATTGGTCTCTACTCCTCTGGGACACACACACACACACACACACAAAATATCAACCCCTCCCACTGTCTCGCACTCAACTCCCCCTACTCCACCCCCGCCCTCCATCCATCCCTCCGTCCCCTCCCCTTCTGTCCTCTCCCGCTGCATGGCCCCTGGGGGAAGAAGGAGTAATGACCCACATCAGCAGCAGCTACGCTCACATGCACACGCACACATGGAGAGGCGATGCGTGCGCACACACACACACACACACTCCTCTACACCTTCCTTGTGGGCGGATACAAATAAATACCCTTGGTGACACACATATGCACACACACACACACACACACATAAAACAGACTGACACATTTACGCTCAAAGGCATGTGTATCTGGGAACTCTGGAATTCCACGGCTGTGCTGTAACACACAGGGCTGACGAGATTAACATAGCTAATTAGCCTCTGTCATGATATTTACTAAATAGTTCTTTCTTTCTGTAGGAATCACAGCCTGTGGAAATCTCAGGAAGGTACCTTTACTGGAATATTTATATATATATATAAACACAAGGAATGATTTGTCCAGTGAAGAGGTAAAAGGTTTCCGTTTGACGCCCCCTATATTTGGGAAATAAACAGACGGCTCATTGTGGCCCACACTCCACAGTTGTTCTGTTGTCATAATAATGCAGAGTATATTCAAAAAGTTTTCACATTGAGTTTTCTTGTAGTATTATGCTAATGAAATTCCTAGACCAGGTCAATTTTAATA